TTTCCAAATGACACACTCCCTCATTGGAGGGCTGTCAGTGAGAGAAAGTTTTTCTTTCTCCAGTTATATGTCTTGAGCATCCACTGTCTAGATACCAGTCCTGATTGTTTCCTCTCACCTTAGCCTGCACCAAAATTCACAAGTTAGTTTTAGGAACTCACGCTAGCTTGGGTCCCTTTGTATTTGAAAAAGGATGAATTAGATCCCTTCTTGCCTAGAAGGAGGGAGGATTAGAAGTTATTTTCTTGTTAACCTTAATCCACTTAGTATGTACAGGAGGATTAACCTTTGGCTCCTCGTCCTTCTTCATATTTTTAGCAATACCAAAGGTGTTTCTAAACTGAACATGAATTAAGACAGGACAAGTGTCTCTAAAGTGTCCTACTCTTCCACAATGAGTGCACATGTTATTATCAAAAGTTCCTACATACTTTGGGTCAAATTTAAGGACAGATTTTCTGTAGCCAATTCAAGATTTGTTAGAGCTATCATTCAGCCAATTCAAGGCATCAGAAGATCTATGCCATTTGCTTAGTCTAGAGAGTTCATAATTAGCCTTTTCTAGGTTTTCATGCAGGACTTTATTTCTACATTCAGCATCATAAAGATTATCATTAGCAATTTTTAGTTCATTTTCAAGCTTATAATGCAGATTACTCATTTTTCCTTTGCCATGTGTATCAGGAGACTTCGTGTTCTCAGAAGTAAGTTCAAGAACCTGGTTCTTAAGTCTTTGACTTGTTTCTCTAAACTAGCTTTGTCAGATTCAAGCTCTTTGATGTCAAGTTTGATATAAGAAAGGTTGTTGATTAGCTAATCATTTTCATTACTTGTTTTATCAACTTCATTCATTAAGGTCACAATTATGGCCATCAATTGTTTTTTGGACATAGCATGAATGTTTTCTTTCAAGTTAGATATACTTACCTAGTTTGCCTCATCTTTAGTTTCTGAATCACTCATGGTCATCATTTATATCATTTCTTCCTCTGTTTTTTATTCTTCAATCGCCATAAGAGCCACTTCGATTTTTTCGTTTCCAAAGTCAGTTTCCAAGGTCCTCCATATGTCATTAGCAGAGATGCAAGAGGACACTATGAGTAGGTAATTTCTAGACAGACTTTTGTAGAGCAAGTCCTTTGCTTTAGCATTTTTCTGAACTAGCTGAGAATCTTCCTCATCGTATTCCTCTTCTCTTTTGGTGCACTTGTTACCTTCATCATCTAATTTAGTTGGGAGAATTGGTTCATAACTGACAATTACTCAAAGTTAGTAGCCTGAAGAAATATTTCCATACGTAGCTTTCATTCATCATAGTGGTGTTCATCAAACAAAAGAGGTCTTCCAATGTGCATCCCAAGTTTTACTGGGGGTTCTATCTTCACAGCTTGGTGTTCATCACTCACAGCATAGAGACTTATAGCCTCATCATCCTTTTCTTCCTCTTGATCACTCTCACTATCCCCATATGCTTCCATGAGTACCTGTTTCATGGCTTCAGTAAATCCTTTGCCTAGGATTATTCCTTTGTTGGAACCCTTTTTCTCTCATCTTCTCTCGTTTCTCCTTTTCAACTCGTTCTTTCCTCTGCTCGATTTCCCATATTGGGCAGTCCTTTACTATGTGATATAGCTTTCCACACTTGTAGCACTCATCATAGTTAGCTTTGTCGATATGCTTGTGCTTACTACTTGTCTCTCTCTTGGATGCACTTTTGGAATTCTTTATGAACCTCTTGAATTTGGCAAACATTACTAGATCAGGATCATAATAGTCTGATTCATCATCCTCACATGCTTTAAAAACCAAGGCCTTATCCTTCTTTGGTTCTTCTTTGTGTAGTTCTATCTTTTTCATTTAATGAGTTTTTAAGTTTCCAACCAACTCATCAAGTGAGATTTTATCGAATTCCTTGGTTTCCTAGATTGTAGTGACTTCTAATTCCCATGAAGCTGGAAGGATTCTTAGAACTTTGCTAACCAATTCTTCTGAGGTAAACACCTTCCAAGTGATTTCAGTTCATTGGTTATTATAGTGAACCTAGTCATCATATCTGGATGGGCTCAGACTCCTTCATGGAGAAAAGCTCATAGTTTCTCATGAGTAGTTCAATCCTTGATCTCTTTACTTGATTTGTTCCTTCATGAGCAGTTTGGAGTGCATCACATATCTGCTTCGCATTAGAGCAACAGAAATTCTATTGCACTCATTAGATCCAAGTCCACAGATAAGGATTTTCTTAGCCTTTGCATTCTTATCCATCATTCTGAAATCTGCTGCCACAAATTCGGAGGGGTCCTTAGGAACTGTTTCACTTTGTGCATTTTATTTAGTAGGAATCAAAGGACTTTGGTTTACTATGGTCCATAGTTCATAGTCTTCATCTATCAAGAAATCTTCCATTCTTGCTTTCCACCAACTGTAATATTTTCCATTGAACAAAGGTGGTTTGGTAGTTCACTGTCCTTCATTAATTCCAGGTGGAGCACTCATCTTTCTTTCAAGATCTCTCTAGGTGTTAGTCGTGTAAATGAGAGAACCTGCTCTGATACCAATTATTAGTTTGAGTGCCCGTATGGATTACTAAAGAACTTGGTTCTTTACCGTGTTCCTTAAGTGTAAAGTAAATAAGCAATACAATGAACACAATGATTTTTACGTGGAAAATCACCCGGCTCAAAAGGTGCAAAAATCACAACCTACCACGTAGGATTTTTAACTCCAACTCCACTAGAACGATGAGCCAAACTGTATCAATTACAAGACTTAATTCAATACTCTCCACTACTCCTACTACTCATATTTAATTCACAAGTTACTCTAACTTGTAAAACAAAATATTCGCTCCAACTCACTAACTGTTTATGACATTTGATTAACACTCAATTTCCTAAAACGCATTCACTAGACTGACTCGGAAGAATACAAAGCAAGTACTCAACATAAGTAAAAATAACTTGTGACACTTTAGTTGATGTGTGAAAGGATAGTTCAGAAGTTCAAAGTCAATCCTATTTAAACACGACTTGAGATCTTCTAGGAGTCTTATTCATAGTCAGCTTCCTCTTTGATAGGACTACTGTTGTTCCAAGGATTCCACAAGCCTTGGGACTTTTGTCTCAGACTCACTTATCCGTATCTTCTTGAGCAACGACCCTTATCACTTATAGAAGCCCTCTTCCACCAAACTCGGACCTGGTAACTTTGAGATAAAGTTTTTTTCTTGTTCATACGTCCAAGTATCAACTATGAGGAGATGATCCTTTAACCTGAGGAGTTGGTTCTTCACAACAGTTAAGCAGCTACATTGAGGACCTGGTTCTTTAAGCAGTTAGTCACACTTTGTTAATCATCAAAATTTCAATACTCAACATAATGCTCGGATCACATGTTCTTTTAAGCGAAAATGGAGGCTCATTTGGTACAATTTTAAAAATATCTTTATCGTAAAGTATGGTTTTTGGTTGCCAAAAATATTTCTTTAGGTAATTTCACCATGCTAAAGGAGAGATTACGAAGGCTACGAATTCAATTCGAATTTCATAGAGTGTTAAGAAGGAAAGAAATCATCTTCAAAGTTTAAAATGTTTGTAATTGCATGCCAAAATTAATTGAAGTTCCAATTCCGGAAATGCCTAAGTCACCTTTGATTTGTTTCCTCTTTTATATTATTAAACACTGTGCTAGTCTGTACAAGAACACCTATCAATTTACTTTAATTATCATAGCAAGTTAGTTTTCATTTTAATTACCAACTTACCAATAATATTTATCCTACATATGAGTATGCAAAATTTGAGCTCTTTCCACTAATGTCTTCTCGATTAGCTCGAAGGGTTTTTCGTTGGTCGGATTTCTTCTTCCTTTTTACATTTGCGGAATCAAAAAGTTAGACCGAGTCATTTGTTATTGGTGATTGAAAGTCATTTGTCATTGGTGATTGAAATATGTTTGACCTCATCGACTTGGACAAGATCTTACATGCTAAATCATATCTTTGCGTAATATACATTAAAATGGGAAGAAATTCAAAAATAGCCAGATTTACCATTGGTCGTTAAAAAATAGCCAAGTTTCAAAAGTCATCGAAATTTAGCCACTTTAAATCTGAGTGAAAACACTGTTCAAAATCCGGAAAAATACGCCCGCAAATTTTACGGGAGTTCCAGCATAAGTATGCTGGAACTCCCGCAAATTTTACGGGAGTTCCAGCAAGTATAATTGTCCAGTATAATATACTGGAGTTTGGAGCACTGGTGCTCCAGTCTCCCGCAAATTTTACAGGAGTTAGCAAAGTATACCGGTCCAGCATAATATGCTGGAGTTCGTACACAAATGCACCAGAACTCCCGTATATTATACTGGACCGGTCCCTGTTGCAGCAAAATAGTGGCTAGTTTTCATTGACTTGATAAACGCTGGCTATTTTTCATTGACCAGAGTGAAAACTGGCTATACCATGATATTTTAACATTAAAATGATATATGAAGTCAATTAATACTTTACCATGCGACACATCACAGGTCACAGGTAGAGAACTTGCGCCCACTGTTTCAACAGGATCTCTCTATAAAGAAAATGCTAAAAGGAAACACCACTGTAAGCTGAAAAACTTGAACTGCACAAATTACTGAGTTATCTCTGCACCTAATTATTTCTTAATTTGTAATTATTGCAACTCCCAAAAGTTACTGAAATTAAATTCAATGTAACCACAAGAAAGAACGAAAGGAAGTTTGAGTTTGCTTAATTAAATTTATCTACGAGTTGGCTATACGCCCAGAAAGAGGGGTTTATGGTATAAAGGAGTGGGTAAGTTAAGGGATGACAATGATATATTCTCATTTTTATAGTGGTGGGAGTTGTTGAACTGGGCGCAAACATATATTTAACCATTTAAAAAGCTACAGCATTACGCTTCGGCTAGGTAACAACTCGTGGAATCATTCAAATAGAACAAGGAAGGTTCAGAGAAAACAGACTTGAGTGGCGCCTCCAATTCTCAAAGCTAATTCTTGCCATCTTCCATTCACAAATGTTCAGATTCAGAAGCAAATAATCGTGAAAAACGTGCTAATGTTACTGATTTCATACACCACAAATTCTTACAAATCTACAGTTCACAAGAGAATACACGGATCCCATAGAGGAACTACGAACAGACGAAATCCAGTTCCTACTCTAAACAACATATACAAAATGAAGACAAAACTACAACAAAAACCGAGCTGCAACACAGGATCGGTTAGTTGGGTAAGTTAATGCTAACTTACTAAACTACAGCTGTACAAAGCCTAAGACAACTGCTATTGACTCATATCAGTCACCTCTAGACTGCAGCTACACAACTGTGGGAATGCACATTCTTGTCCTACACCCTACCTTTTAATAAACCTGTGCACTACCATTTTCTATGTGGTAAACTGTACTTAATAAACTTATTAACGTCGCTGTTAATGGTATCATCTTCTTGCAGCAAGCTTTCTGGAATGACGGTATTTGGCTTGATGCCAAGTGCTCTCCAGGATGCTGCATCTCTACAAATCATTAGCCAGGATCATATGATGGCCTTTTCTGCTGGTTTACTTCCCTCCAGCCGATTTCCCTGCTCGACTTTTCCACGTGCTCTGCATATGACAATATTTATTACCACATTATCGTTCATCAAGAACTGTAAGTTTCATTAAATAGTGAATAAGAACAAGCATTACAAGTAGCTCATCATCAGATAGTTCTTCATCAGATTTTGTAGCTGAACTCCTTTCAGAGTCATCTCGATCAATTGAATGACTGTCTGCATCATCTCCTAAACTCCCCTGAGAATCTGATCTTTCAGCATCATCATTTGACTTCTCCGTCGATACATCTGGCTGTGGTTTCTCATGTGAAGAAGAGATCTCCTCGTCCGATCCATGGGAATCCTGAGGAGTGCCAGGTTCATCCTCAAATTCTTTATTCTCCAAGGGACTTTCTTCTTTTACGGACTCTTCCATACCACTTGACCTATCATCATCATCAGCCCCTGGTTTCCCATCAGAGTACGATCTGTCATCCTTGTCAGACAGTTCGTGTTCAGACAAACTCCCATGCATACTCTCTTTCTGCTCACCTTCTGAATTACCTAGTAAAGCCAAATGTCAGATTAGTAAGCTAGGGGAGATCACGAATAACATAGCAGAATGGTAAGTTTTGGAAACTGTCAAAATTATCAAACTCCTATCAGAACCTATTCGACCTCGTCAGCAACTAAGACATAATGGAAGTTCTGATATTACTTGTGAATGTTGTAAATTTGGCTAAGAATAGTTAAGATAACTGAGCTTGGATCATTTGGCAAGAACACATCACATTCTAATCCACTGTTAATTTAAATGCACTTAAAAGGACACAACTTTGCTCATCAGGGAAAGGGATCCAGTGGATTGGGACAACTAAGTTTAAGAATGTCAGGTAAATTAACACAGGAGCTCCTAATGACAACCTCGTGCAAGGACACAACTTTGCTCATCAGGGAAAGGGATCCAGTGGATTGGGACAACTAAGTTTAAGAATGTCAGGTAAATTAACACAGGAGCTCCTAATGACAACCTCGTAAGAGCACCAACTAACATATGTGATCCTCCTCTTCCTCAGATTTTCAGCACTCGAGATGGCTCCTTTAGAAACCATCGACACAAAGGAACACCCCTTTTTAAACTCCCCAGTAATCCAGACTGACTGGGAAAATTGTCTCGTCTCTGCCTAGCATCTTGATGCAAAAGGACTTAAATGAGAAGCCACCGCCAATCCAAACTCCCATTTTTTAGAATCTTGATTTTCTAATGAAAGGATTTGTTTGTAAAGCATTTCAAGAAGGCTTTGGAATTCCTAGATCTTCCTAGTTCCTATCCTTATTGTTTCTTCTGAAACTGAGGTCCCAAAGGATGTTTCCCTCATGTAATATTCCAAATCTGTTGGAATGTTATCAAAAGGACTTAAATGAGAAGCCACTGCCAATCCAAACTCCCATTTTTTAGAATCTTGATTTTCTAATGAAAGGATTTGTTTGTAAAGCATTTCAAGAAGGCTTTGGAATTCCTAGATCTTCCTAGTTCCTATCCTTATTGTTTCTTCTGAAACTGAGGTCCCAAAGGATGTTTCCCTCATGTAATATTCCAAATCTGTTGGAATGTTATCACCTTTTGTCATAAAACTCCTTAGATGTACCAAGTAAAATTAAACTCTTTAGGTGTTTGGAAAAGCGGATCTCAAAGTATTGTCTCCATGCCACTTGTGGCCCCCAAGAGCTAACCCTACTCCCATCCCCTGTTCTGAAAGATATATTGCCTTTACAATTACCCACCCCTTCAGAATGTTTCTCAAAAGGCCACATCCAAAAGGAACTTTCCGTTACTCTCAATTCTCAAAAACTAAGGAAAATTGGTAACTTAGTTCTTTGGGTTAAAATTAACTTAAAGAAGTACTCTAAGTTTGGGGAAACTTTCAGATCCGACAAAATGAGGTTTTCGTTCTTTCCTTAAAGAAAGAGATGGCACTGCTGCATTTCAAATCATCAAATGTCACCCATCTCTCCATTCAAACTCCATCACTCTGATAGTTTGTCATTCTTTTATACTCTTCACCTCATGATATCTCTCTCTCTCTCTCATTTCATTTGTTGACCTTTCCATAACAGAACATACCAAGCATCATACCGAAGGAAATGCAGCAAATGATTAATACGGTTAACTAGAATGATAACAAGAAACGATATATCAAGAAATTGAAATCAGAAGAAAATCACAAGAGCTTTACCTGAGCTTAAATTGTTTTCCTTGGACTTTGAGGTTGCCAACGGCTTTCCTAAAAGCAGCCTTCCTCTGCTGAAAGAAGATTTTGATGGGCCTTTTTGTCCATACTTCAAGTTCTTCCTTGGAGTTCTCTTCCCTCGTACTTGTGATAATGGAGACCTGTCGGCAAAACAGATTGCATAAGGCAGATAGGAAACACACAAATAATTTATGTGCAATCAAGTAACAGAATCAAGCTCACATGTTATCTGTCTCTTTCTTTTGCTTGGAGGCAGCAAGGGCTTTATTTTTCCTCTCTCCATTTCTGCAGTAATTAAATGAAGAGGAGCAGGTTAAAGATGCTTATAATTCCTTTTATGATGCAAATAAACAAGGCACCGGAAGACATAAGACAGAACTAAGATGAACATATAAATGAAGTTATTCACTTATTCCCACAGCTTATTTGCATATGCATAAAACTTAAAAGAGCCACATTATGCAAATTTAACAGTTCTTTCATGAAAGGCGTTAAAATTCAAGATTAGAAAAGAATTAAGCCAGTCGTCAACACTTAATAATAGTCCGGAACAGCAAAGGCAGAAATACTCATTATACCAACCCATCTATTTCAATGGGAAGAAAAACTATGCAACCTGAGGTATGATATCCAAAGCATTCAACAAAGAGAAGTACCATCAACACCACTCAAACACTCAACGATACAAATCCCCATTTTGAAGTACCAGATAAAAAGAAACCCCCCATAACTTATCAGAAGAAGAAGAAAAGGTAATGTGAGAATCACAAAGATTAGCTCCTTGATAAAGCTCAACGTAGCCTTTTATTTGATGTTCATCAGCATACGTAAACATGGAGTTAAAAGTTTCAACAGATTTTATATACCTTATTCTTTTTATAATCAATATATCCTGTGTTCTTTAAAAAACAATACCCTGTGTTAGCACCAAATGTGTATGTGCGTGCGTGTGTATTTCCAAAATATTCTCCAACGGATATTTTATTGCTATCAATTTGGATACAAGATGCTGGAGTTTGCAGTGTATTGGGAAGAGATTATCTGAGTTCAGAAAAAAGAAATTGTAAAGAATATATGTTTCCAACAATATCAGGATGGAAGTAAACCAAAGTTTACCCTTTTTGGACTAACGGCAGCAGAGCCTACTTGGACATATTTCTTTCCGGCCAAAATGGAGGAAAAAACAACACAAGTGATTCTAAGCACAACAGAGGGGGAGAATAAGTTACGCTTTTGATGTAATCCAACAACAAGCAAGGTAATAAAATACACTTAAAATCCCATAAGTACTAATGCAAATGAATTACTTACACTTTCTCGTAACGTGAAACCTTTTTGGAATTTGAAGCCTTTTTCGAATTTGAACCCTGTAAATGATATCCAACGTGGTCAGAAATTAAGCCATAATGTATGACTTCACTACAAGAATCAAAAAAAATCGCAAGAGTGAAGTAACACTCGAAGAAAATCAGACCTTCACAGGCTTCTGCCCACCACCAACAAGCTCCCAACACTCCTTTTCCAATCGGAGGACTTCTACATCACCATCATCATATAGAACCTTTGGTACAATTCACAGCAAAGAATCAAGAGAAGTTGACATATTAAAAAGAATTGCAGAAGTTTGTTAACGCTAGAAATACAAAAGTCTGAAGTATTGGACATGCAGCTTACAACGTGTTTGTTCTTTTGAGTGTCAAATGACTTAATAACACCTTCATAGAACCTGTCAAATACTTGGAGTTAGAACATTAACCAATAATCATGAAGAGTCAAATTAACAAAAATACTGGAACACAATCAGAGTAAAGATTAAAGACGAAAACACTGACAAGTAGACACCAGCCCATGACCTATGAGCGCAATAGTGTATGGAAGACAACCAACAGAAGTTGAGCAAGAGAATAAAGAGGATATCAGAAAGAAGCAACAATGATGTGTTAAGAGAATTGACAGATAAACATCTCTACAAGTGTTGCTCCAAGGCAATCAGCAATCTAGATGATAAATAAGCATATAAAAGGAAGTACAACCACGCAAACCCAAAAAAAACGAACTCCAAGATTGTTGCTGAAGATAGCTTGAAAGAACTCGAAAGAACTTTTACTCATCTTGAATTAAGAGCCACTTACTTCTTATCCATGGGCCACCAAACTTTTATTCTGCAACCAATCAAGTCCACAGTGGGAGCTGTATCACCCTTTGACGTGCACTAGAGAAAATCCAGGTAAAAAGCATTAACAAATAATAAGTTCACAAACATGGAAATATTGCAGACGTGAATCTTTCGAGTAGGAAAAAGAAAAAGTGGTATGAAACAGCACAAAAGTTGCAAAACTATATCTAAGCCAACTTCCTTCACAAATGTTAATGAAATTAAATAAACAACAAAACACTTATACAGTTATATAGATAAACTAGACAATACGCCATTGGGCAGAATTATAGATAATCCACACAAGGGAAGAGGATAGCTCACTCGGTATTGTTCATCCTAAGTAATCTGCACACTCAAAACCTCCTAATAAAAGGAACGAACTGCACTTTTATGCAAAACCAATTGATGGAATATTTATGGAGGCACGATAAATGTTTTATACGGAGGAAAACCTTAACATAGAAAGTGCTATAGGGGCTCCATGTCCAACGTGCTTGAAAGCAACCACGTAAAACTGGTCTAATATTCATTTTTCTTAAACCTATAATAGAAAGCCTTCTCATTTCTAGAACGGAGGAATCCTTAAATCATATATGAGTATCCATGATATAATTAAGGTAATTTCTTCATCAACTATCCGATGGCTATCTCTATTTAGCTTTCTTCTAAGACAAAGGAACCAGCCACAACTGCGCTTTGCAGTGCACCTCGTTGTTTACCTTGAGCTAACATTCAAACTGCAAGAGAAAAAAACATGAAGTCCCCACATAATAAGGAAGATGCATTAATACAATTACGTTAAGTTACAAAGAGATTCAAGGTAACAAAGAACTTCAAACCACATTCAACAAAGAGAATGTAACAGAACTGCAAACAATATTCTGCAGAGATTTTTGCAGATCAGTCATATTGAGTTACAAAAGATTGAATATATTCACTTTAACAGTTAGTCAAAAAAGTTAGACCGTACAGTTGAGAAAGGAACCAGCATAGGTCACCAAACAATACGCCAGAAGTTGGATCTTATCATACCATGCAAGTAAACATACACCCAGAATATATTACTTTGCCTTACAGTTGGACAAGGACAGATACATTCACCTTACAGGGAGACAATTATCAGATACACTCAGAAACACATTTGAGTGTGGATGGGGCAACAATGCAGCAAATATACAGATGGCAAGACCTACCTTGGCCAGTCCAGCTATACTTCTCTTCTTCCGTTGCTTGTGAGATCCTGACATGTTATTACTTTCGACATGTGTATCAACTGCTTCTGTGTTTTGTTTAGACTTCTGCAGGACCGAAGGCACAAGGAGAACTCAAAGAGGTGATAATATATGGAGTATCGAGTTTGTAACTAATTCTACTATTCAAAAAACTTACTTTCAGTCCACGACTGTCCACTCCAACTTCATGGGTGTCACCACAAGTCTTATCAGTAGATTTACGCTTTTGTTTAGGCGAGAAGCTTGTTTTCTTCCTGATGGATGATGTTAACAGGTCTGACTCTTCAGGTTCATAAACATCTTCTTCTGAGGACTTATCTTCCGAGATGGATAGAAGATCATCCTCCTTTTCAATAGACTCCTTGATTTTTGCAGAAAGTTTATGACCCCAAGAAGAAGATGATCTTTGTCGCTTTGCACCTTTTGGTACAGAAATATCAGTTCCTGTTTTTCTTTTCTGACGTTTATTGGTTGCTTTAGTTTTGACTGCAGATTCATGGCCATTGCTTGCATCCAACTTATTGTCATCGCCGGCATTATTTGAATCTATCTCCCTCAACACTTTCAAGATGTCAAGATCATGTTCAGTTCTCACCTCAGGAGGTGAAGGATCATCCTTCACCTCTTTCCGCATCTTAGATCTAGCTTTAAGCCGTTCCATTATTTTTCCCAAAGGCACCTCATTTCCTTCGGTTTCACTGTCTTTCATGGCCTCGTCTTCAGTAATTTCTGATTTCAACTGGTGAATGTAAGGTGGAAGAATAATAATCAGTCAACAGGTGATCATTTATCACTAGCAAAAAAATTGTCAATACCAAGGCTTACTGTTCCATTAGTTTCAAACTTGATTGATTCAAAGTGAACCATGACGCTCTCATCAGCCAACCATGTCTTCACTTCAACCTGTCAAATCACAAAAGGTGAACATCACGCATTTTATGTAGTAAGGAAGAAAAGTTCAGAGATAAATATCGGTGGGAAGGGATGGGAGGCTTTTAGTGGACATATCTCTTTCAGGGTTGGGGATGGAAGCAGGAAAAATTTCTAGGCAGTGCGGGGAGAACGAGTTGAGGGTAGCGTTCCCTAACTTATATAATGTATCATGCCAAAGAGGGATTACAGTGCAACAAATTTGTAGGTCCCATGAGGGGGTAGTTCATTGGGATTTGAGATTTAGGAGGAACCTATATGATTGGAAGATGGAAGAATTTCACAGCTTGGTTGAGCAATTGTATGGGTTGGATAGGCCGATTAATTCATCGGACGTATGGAGGTGGCGTGAGAGTAGAGACGGAATATTCACTGTTAAATCTTACTTAGGTTACTAGGGAGAGAGGAACATATATTTCCTCATTGCTCTATCTGAGAAAAGTGTGCTTCTTTGTGTGGTTGGCGGCAAGGGGGGTGATACTGACGGCGGATAATTCAATAAATAGGAGGATCACCTTTGATAGTTGGTGTTTCATGTGCAAAAGCTCGGGCGAAGACGTAGATCATCTTTTTATACATTGTTAGGTGGCTAATTGGTTGTGGAGGGTGGTTCTTAATTTGTTTGGGATGCAAATGCAATGGGTGATGCCGGACACAGCAAAGGAGGCGTTGCAGAGCTGGGCTCACAGGACGAGAAAAGAAGTCCAAGGGCATGGCGTCTTGCCCCATTAGCAATCACGTGGGTCATTTGGAATGAGAGAAATAGGAGGGCATTGAAGGGGTGGAACAGGATTTTGTAAAATTACAAAATAATCTTCTGTTCCTTGTTTCTTTTTGGTGTACTCATGAGATCCCTATTTGCATAGAGGATTGGGTCGCTTTATATGGCTTCTATACGGCGTTTCTCCCAATTGTTAGTAAATCATTTACCTTATCCAACAAAAAAAGATAGGCTTTGAAACAAGCACAAAGATAAGTATGTGACATACTTTCATCTCTACCGTGTAGAGAATTAAAAGTATAGCAGAATTCCTACTATGGTGTATTTGGAAGTTGCTCAATCCGCCTTCAAAAGAATGTTAGTTTAGCAATATAGAAATAGGGGAGGCTTCATTTTGGTGGACAAATTAACGGAGTCACAATAGGCAGCCTAGATTTTTTCACCGATCCAGATCAACAAACAGTTGGATATACGGAATTTCATTCACACAGAAATCAACCTGAATGTCTGCAGATTGTAACCAGATTTCCTTGTTGAATGAAGGTTAAATAACAGCATACAAACAAACAAAAGGGAAATGACATTTGAAAGGTCACTTCACTGCCAACACAATTTTGTGAAGAAGAGAGTAAATTCAGAAACAAGAGAGATTAAAGAAATTCATGACAAATAGAAGGCCAGCAAGGAGTCCTACCAACAGAATACAAGTTGAAGTTTCGTGAAGAAAGCAAGAGTCTGGAAAAGATAGTGGAAGAAAAAGAGAATTTACTCAGAGGGTAGTTATTCCGACACTTTTTCAAGTGATATATAAAATTCATCATTATAGAAACATACACCATTGGTAAATAAAGCCTAAATACTGATGAATCTCACTTTTCCAGCCATTCAACCTGTGAAATATAGTTATATTGAGGTCTATGACACAAACAATAAGCAGCATCTAACATGGCATACCAGAGACTGGTCCTTCTGTTCACCCTTCTCAAGTTGTTTGTAAAGAGATGGAGGAAGAGATACTGATGCTTCGGACTCCTTAAGATCATCCTGGTTAGGTAATAGCCGTTTCGCAATCATCAGGCCAAGGTCTGAGACAGCATATGAGTTCTGCAAGAGTATTCAAACAATAAAATAGCAGGACAATCTCAGGTATCCCCGCTTATGGTTGTTTCGTTTGTGCATATATTCCACCGGCACCAAGTGATAGAAGGTTGAAGGATAGAACGACAAGCATTGATACACTTAAACAAGTATCAGCGTTCCTTCCTTACCTTTGATATTGCCGAATCTACTGCATCTTCTGAATGTTTTATGCTGTGAAGAATAGAATTTATAGTTAAAATGCTTTCCTTCTCTCTACTAATATCACCTTCAGATTTCCCCTCTTCATCTCCATGCACCAACATTGAGAGGAAAAGGTGCAATTGCCTGAAACAGAACATTCACATATATTTCAACAAAATTAGAGCTGTGAGGATAAGGATGGACAGGGATTTCTCAGGATGCAGCTTCTAAATCTACCTAAAATGTTATCACGGGGTACTGTCATAGCCAAACTTGCATACAGACAACAAAAATGCCAACAGCTTAACTACAGTACAACTGGCTTCATACTTGGGTACATCTTTAAAAGGTCATCATGCCACTACTGGATCCAATACTGGAGATCCCCATCCCCAAAAAAAGGGGTTGGCCCCAAGTCCAATAAGCTTATTAAAGATGTATATATGCCACATGTTCTGGATTCTTTTAAAAGGTCATCTTACTATGTTCATACAGTGAAATGGCAAATGCTTAGATCAAATTCAAGTTAAGCTTAATGACTTAAAATTGTTCCACTTCCAGCATTAAAACATCAACAAAGACTGAATAACATACAGAAAATAGCAAATTCTAAATCTATTCATAGAGACACATATCAATAACAAGTTATTAATTGCATAATAATACATCCTCATTAATGAGGAACATTCTATTTATCTCAGCATGTTTGACCCCAGTGCTACAATTGCTGAATATAAGTCCAACCATGGGTGGAACATTCTATTTAAATTTCATCAACTCGTTATACAACCTGTGAAGTACTACTGTTTAGGTTGAAAATACTAAAGGAATAAAAAGACAAGCCAAACCATAGACATAAGTTCAATAGTCAAGGAGCTATACATCCAGAGTAGGTGACAAGCACCCTTCTTTACCTCCAAGAGAAGCAGTTTAGCTATTCAGCGATGAGGATTAACACAACGAAAAAGTGACACCGATGTTTAGAATATAAATCATCATTAATGTGGATAAGTGACAGCAAGCACTACATAAACTTCATTAATATCTGGGCCAAAATAAAAGTGCCCGTATACAAGTAGTACACCAAAAAGTAGAAAACCTACAAAAGTATATGGTTTTTTAGTGAAAAACACCCAATCTTCTATATGACAAGGAACACTATGGGTGCACCAAAAATAAACCAGGGATAGAAGGCTACAACTGAACTTCTCAAAATTCATCTCTACCCCTTCAAAAGCTCTCCTGTTTCTTCTCTCCAAATAACCCACATAAGCATTACACTTAGATGAGTCCACTGTATATAATTTCCGTAAGCAAAGTACTAAGAGCTTACTGTAAACAGCATAATAAATACAGATAAGATCAGAATCTCAAGAAATGCGGGCTGATAACAGGTTTATCTAATCGTGAGAATAATTGGAAATAAAATTACGCAAACGTGAGGCATTCTCAAGCTCTTTAAACTTCTATACATGTAACCATCAATAAGTAAGACCAGGAAACACTTGTACCTATAAATAGATTCAAATGCTTTAACATCCTTGCATTCGTCAATGTCAGGAAATGAAGAATGATGAGCAAGAGCATGGACCAAGTATGGTAGAATATATTCTGGATAAGGAGCTGGGGTCAAAGGTTCAGATTGCGCAGAAAGTTGGCGTGCCTTCCCCTGCTGATAGATCTGGATAACATCACTTAAATTGTTCTTGACCTGTCAATAACAAATCATTAACAAATAAGTATAAACATATAATCAAGACAGACCTGCCAGTACAACAATCGCAAATCATACCTCTTCAAAATCTGGCTGCTGAAACTGCAAGTCAAGTAAGAATGCACAAGTGTACTTTGGGTCCAAATAACGATCCTTTAGGTATTGGTGAACTTTGTCGAGAAATAACTTCTTTACTTGAGGGAAACGGGCCTAGTAGCATAACAGTTAAAAGAGATGATTATTCATAAGTTTGTATCTAGAAAGCTATTGCTGAAATTTGTGTGAGTGGCACATCAGTGGGGGCAATGTCATCTATTTGAGGTTGTAGCTGGTAGAAAATTCACCTCCGATGTCCCCAGAGTAAGGTAAAATATATCCACAGGAATCTTGTGGTCCCAGTGCTTTGATAGACGAAGCATAGCTTTTGCTGCAGCAAGTCTTAAATGGGCTTTATCAACAGAACTGCAAAATGCCAAAGAAAAGAGAAAGTGAAGCCAGATCTCCTGTGTCAGAAAGCTTTGAACCACACTAGCAAAGCACATCCATCTATTGTCAAAACCACCAAAAGATGGTGATTCCTGCACGGTAGCGGTACCTTGACTTGATTTGCATTGAGATTTCCCCGAAAGAAAGTATGTTTTTCAGGATTCCCAACAAGTCATCAACCCCCAAGCGAAGGTGGGCATCCTTCACTGGTAAATAACTTTTGACCAGTGTCTTAATTCCAAATATCTGAAAATAAATATTGAATAAAAATTGCAATTTATCCTTCAGAATCTAGGCATAATACTGAAAATTGGAATGGAGATAACAAACGAGTGAAAACTGACCTTCAGTGAACAGATCTCACTCTGTTCTTCCCAACTTTCTTTGGTTTTACCTTCTGATGTCTGAAAAGAATAATTTGCCTTAGATGAATGCTAAAAGAAGAGGTAAACAGTTCACAAATTTTTGCATTAGTTCAAGAAGACATACATGACCGCGCTCCAATATGTTTTTCTTTATGAACTGCTCTATCTCTTTCTCCCTTGTCTCAAAGACTGGCATAGCAGTCTGCGCAATACATCCAAGAGATTGTAGTACAGCAGGTAAATGTGACTTCTCATCTAGCATATCAACAAGTCTCTGCACATTACACAAATAATGTAACACCCAAAACCTCATCAACATATGACGAAGATAAATCTAGAGAGAGGATAAACCAATAGGCAGTGATTTATATGGCTATAATGAGATAATGACCTACCTTATATAGAACAGAAAGTGACTTGAGCCCATCATCCTTCATTATTGATGCAAGTGCGTGTACAGCATACTTGGCCTGCCTCCGGCTTCCCTCCAAGCAAATCCTCTCAAGCATAAGGTCTAATGACCTGTAAGTTACAAGCATAATGTCTCAGCATATTGCAGCAAGGAACAAGCACCAAAGCATAAAAGCTCCAAATGTGAACCTTGAAGAATCTCCCAATTTTTCTCGGATGGCTCCACCAGCCTTTGCCAAAACATGCAAGACACCTTCTTTAATTATCTCATTATCATCTTCAAGCAGATGTATCAAATCTTCCTCAATTCCAGTAAGCAGCAACGGACAGAAACGTGCAAGAATCTGCAACATTCATCAAAGAAAGACATGAATTGAAGGAAGCGCAGAAAAGGAAATTACATACTTCCTAAAACAATAATTGATCAAGTCAGAGATGACGCTTTTGTAGTAGTGTCATCCGATGGTAGCAACACATCGAGTAGCTCAGAATTTATAGGGCACTATAGTGTTAGACTGATTCTTAAGGATGGGATAGTTTTGCAAGCAATACCATTATATCAAGATACACCAATGCATCAACCAAAAGCCCCTTGTTTCACTTCTCTCCTTTATAGGTTATAATAATGAAGTCTAGCAAACAAACATGAGGACAAGAAAAATGCAATTATATAAAAGAAGCAAGTTAGTATTAAATTACCACAAGTATATGTGTGCAACACAGAATCAAATCAGTGCTTCCAGCAGATTTTTGTATGTTAGTCTCCTGAAGGATTTCATTTACATGCTCCTTGTTGAAAAGTACATATGAGCACTTCAATGAAAGTGTGCCCAGAAAGTCATAGAGCCGATGCTTCTCACCAAGGATCTTGAGCAATTCATCCTGACAGAGAATAACATCACATGAGAACTGCCATGTACTCAATACATTCATAGGCATTGCAGCGACTTTAATCTATCAGTAAACAAACAAGAAGTGAGAACCCAAGCAAAGATTAATCAAAAGTAGGTATTCTCCTTACCCGAGAACTAGAAGCTTGAATAGAGCTACTGTTTGGATCAAGGAGAGCTGTTAATATCCTCCAGACATTAGCATCTTTTAACTGATCAAGAATCTGAAAGTTCTCTTCTGCCTTTCCAGGATCAGTAAAACAACGAGACATGATTCGGAAGCAAAATACAACTTTCTTTTGGATCTCAGTGGCATCGCCATCCTGCAATTATTTTACATTGAAGTTCAGTAATAAACTAATGCATTCACCTTTAGCCTTTTATTGTTCAGGAAGAAAGAGTGGAAGAGTTGCAAACCTGGTGCATCTGCCTTAAAGAAAGATACCTCCTCATCTCTTGCTGCAACCTGCAGCGCAGTCCAAAACTCAATGAATATGTAGTTCAGGTTGTACTACAAAAGTGAGATAAATGGAGACAGAAACAACATCCAGGAACACCTGACATCCAGATCAAACATTCATGACAAACCTTTGCTTCTGCTCCAGCAGCTTCTCAAGCGCTCTAATCTCACCTACGTTCAACTAAACTCAAAACCGTAAAACCCCTAAACCTTTAAACTTTTTAAACTTTACTTCCGTTACGTACGTAG